ATATGTCCTTTTACATCCATTCTAAAGACTCAAATATAGAGACTCAAAGAGATAATTTATCCAAAGTCACATAATCCCTTAGGCTGGATCCAGGTTTCAAATATAGTATTATCTTAAGTGAAAAAGCCATTCTTCTATGTTTTTTATGCTATACTGTGTGGTTTCTCCTCTAAGCTTAACTTTCTTTTTGCTAATGTAAGAACAGAAAATAGGGATGTGAAAATCCTTGTCAAAGTCCCCTGCCCCTGTCTCCTTTGCTTGTGGCCATTGCTTTGTTCTGGAGGAAAGAGGATACACTTTGTAAGATGCTACTGATACTGAATGGCAAGAAGAGAAATGAAAGGGAGTGAGGCAAGAAAAATGACCTAACTTCAAAGAAGAAAGAGTTCTTAAGAGAAGGAGAGAGCTGCTTGGAGTCAACTGTGAATTCATAGGGCCCCACTGGTCCCTGTCCCCTTGTGGAAGCCTGTGGCAGGCACCTTTGCTTATTCTCACACTCCATATCCATTGAAGGTCCTAGAACGTTAGGATTTGGCCAGTGCTGCCGAATTCAAAGGCACCTGAATGAACATTTGTGTTCTGCTTCTGATGGTTATTGCTGGGACTGAACTCTCTGACAGCAGAGTCTAGAGACAGTTCGAGGCTTCCAGCCAAAGTGGGCTAGAATGCTGGCAAGACCGGGTGGACTCAAGAGACTTGACATGATTTAGAAATGATGGCCAAATGAAAAGGAAGCTGGTATTTTATGAAAACAGAATTTCTGGAGAGAGACGATATTTAACTTAACAAGAACTGTGCAGACCTTGACCCTTAGATTCTGCACCCTCGTGCATGAGAACTACAAGAGCAAAAGATGGTCTGTGCTATCTTCCTAAGATTCCAAGTAGTTGCTTGAAGCATCTAGAGCAGAGGGTAGAAAATTCTGGTCCTTAGGCCAAATCTAGTCACAGAGGTACGTCGTGTGGTTCTTATGGCTTTAGCCTACACAGTGATGACTGGGATTTCAAGCCCTGGACCAATCCTCAAATCAAGCCACAGTGGGTTTTCATTTCTTCGGGCAATGAATCTGAGTAGAATTCCCCTCTGTTAATACAGCGTAGGCTTTCCAGTTTGCTCAGTGCCTGGGCCTCCCCCGAGATACTGAAGCTTCATTTATTTTTATCCTTGCACTTATACCAAGGATTCCCTTCCATGGAGTGAGAGCTGTCTGGCTGCTGTATGAATCTGAGCTGGGGATGCCGGTGGGCATCTCATTCAAAGCACTGGCAATAGAAAGTGAACCCTCATGTTGCTAGTTACTGTAGAAAAGTTAACAGAAAAGACAAAAACAAAAATAAACAAACAAAAAACCAAGTAGCTCAGAGCTGTTTTATTTTTCTTAAATAAAAGTTTCAAATTATAGCTTTAAAAAAAAATACTCATTACTTCTATATTGCTCTTTTTTTTTCCTTTTCAGTAAAAAATAAAACAGACTATTTAGTGGACACAAGCACATTTGAATCCCAAACTATCAGCATCTTGTATATGTAAACTCTTTTGGACTTTGGGAATATTTTAAAATAGCTCAGTCCAAAACAAAACCAGTAAAAAGGCAATAATAAACATTAAATATATCTATATATGTATATATATAGATACAGATATAGATCTATATCTAGAGAGAGTAGATAGACAGATGAATGAATGATTTCAGAGAGGCATTTACTAGTTCAAGAAATTCTTAAATGAATAAAACAGAACAAGAGAAGCAAAACCTAAAGTGTGATTTTAGTCTTCTGAGTTGAGAAAAGCCATTTATGCAGAGCAGAGTTTTGTTTGGGTAATGGTTGGAAGACTGAGAAATGTAGTTTCCAGGCTTCTTTATTGGCTACCAAATATTTCTTATGCAGGTTAGACTTTATGGTGATCAAATGAGTAATAGCTCCATGAAGCAATCCAATCACTCATCATTTATCACCCTCCAGTGGGACAGTTTCACTATGTATACATCCATGGTGTGTATGGGTTTCACTATATGAAATGCAATGACTCATGCAGTAGTTTGGTATTTAACAAGAAATCTTGGACCTGGTGATAGTGTTTACAGAGTTATCTGAATATGACTGAGTCAATAAAAAACATTTTACAAAATAACAAAACACTAAATATTGGTAAATGTTGGTATTAACATTGGTAAATATTAGTATAATGATACTGGTAAACTTTATTTTTCATAGAAAAGTCTATTGATAAAAAGGGGCTGAAATCTTTTTCAACTCCACCCTGAGAGATAGGTAAACAGATGAAGAAATTAAGTGTCTAAGAGCTTGCTACATAACATCACATAACTAAAAAATAAGGAATGTGGGAATACAGCTCAGGAATTCTGAATGATCTCAGGGTCTTTCCATGATATCTTACTGCATAGGCATGAGGGAACAGAAAATCCTCTGGGCTGTTGGGAAGAAATGAGGTATGGGCTACCTAAGATGTGAGTTCAGTTTTTGCTTTCTGTGCCCGTTTTTAGATACAGAAAATAGAGAATTACAAAGTGCCATTATTGCTGTTTTTACTTCTGTATTGGGATATCTGTAAATTGGGTTGGACAGAACATTTCAGTTTAATGAAGATTTTCTGTTTTTATTAGAAGTGAGTCTGAGAGTTTCACTGATAAAATGGAGAACAGCTGCTCACTTCTGGGAAATAACCACAGCCCACAGTCAAGCCTGATAAGAAATCTGAAAAGGAGTAACTTATTTTGAGCAAAGTTGTCATAAGCTCATCAGGTAGAGATGAGGTTACAACCAAGGAAGAGGGCAAGATGCATGTGTTTGAAGCAAATAAACTCTAGCTTTAAAATCCAGGAACAGATAGAGTCAATATCTGTAAGTGGAGAGAAAGCTGTATACTCTGAACAGATAACCAAGCGAATGAGTGATGAAGTTAAACACATTCATAAGGCAAGTAGAGGAAATGATCAGAGTAACCATCAAAGAACAGTAAAGTCTAAATCTAACTTTTTTTTTCCCCCTTCCGGAGATATGTTGATGTTGAAACCTTGCATCAGTATTTCTTAAAACTGTAGATCTCTTGGGTCAGACAAGAGAGAATCATGGCAGTGGGTCTTCCGAAGAGAGAGGCCATTGTGGGGGAGAGGAACTCAGTATGCCAAGAAAAGAAATGGAGATAATGGGGAATGATGTAAACAAACCACCAGGGTTTTAATAATGGAAATGTGAGCCCCTACTATTTCTAAGCCTCTTGTTCTTAATATGTAAAACTGAGAGAGTAATTCAAAGTTCTGTTTTGAGAAATCGAAAGATAATTAGCAAAATGCTTCCAACAAAAAAATAGGGAGGGGTAAAACTGTAGCTGTTACTTTTTCCACATATGCTTTCCTAAGCTCTCCTGTATTGCCAGAGGCATTTAAATAGAGGTGGGTTAAATAAGGAAAAATCATGACAAAATACCATACAGGACTAAAAAGGATCTCAAAGTCTGGCAAGAAGAGTTAAGAAGGTAAGAAATTTGCCCAGCATTGCCTAGCTAATAGAACTAGCCAAAAAACAGACCTGTTTGATCCCAAAACTCCTGCTTTTTTTTTTTTTTTAAGATTTTATCTATTTATTTGACACAGAGAGAGAAATCACAAGTAGGCAGAACAGCAGGCAGAGAGAGAGGGGGGTGGGGTGGGGGGAAGCAGGCTCCCTGCTGAGCAGAGAGCCAGAAGCAGAACTTGATCCCAGGACTCTGAGATCATGAACTGAGCCAAAGGCAGAGGCTTAACCCACTGAGCCACCCAGGCGCCCACCCAAAACTCCTGCTTTTTCCTCTATCCCATTCTGCTTCTATAAATGAGATGATCTGTAAGTCACTGAAGGTGATAATTACATTTAAAATTCCCTTTGCTTTCAAGTTTTGGATTTAAGCCGTAGTACCTCTGTCCCAGCAGATGAAGGTGCTGTAAACTGCTGCGGTGACAGAATATAACTTAAATGCACTGTCCTTCTGTCCCTTCCTGCAGCAGTCAGAAGTGTAGGCTAAGGATGGGCTAGAGCCCAGCTCCTTCTCACCCAGGGATCCAGACAGAAGATCCCAGTCTCCCCCAGCCTGCCTTAAGACACCTGCTGAGCATAACTCGAACCTCCTCTGATGAGGACACTTTACAGCAGACTTAGCCATCCAGCTGCAGGTAGTAAAACTACTATTTCAAAGCCAGGGGAGAAGGGACATTGGACATGCTGAAAAGGAATAAATTTTTGGATTTCCCCCCCCGAATTGTGGGAATGATTGTGGGAGGAGAAGATATTCAAGGAAATATGGTATGGTGCTAAGCTTCTGTAATATGAGCCTGGTGTCTCAAAGGAAAGTTCTTACATTTGTGGCCCCTGGGCAAGAATTAACCCATCCTTATTCCACATTTCTCCCTCCCAGACTTGGCTGGAATCCCAGACAGGGCGTTTCTAACCCCTCCTCTGCCTCCTCTGCCGCTTGCCTGTGGCTTGTGTGCTGCTTTGGTGGGGTAGGGGCTCTCCCCAGTTTTCTGTCGCTGTGTTTGATCATAGCCAGTAGATTGCTAGAGCCAAGACAGGGTGCACTGGTACATTTGAACTATTCCCGCCAGTGTCAATAAGGAACAGCATAAAGTTTCCTGGATAGAGCGCAACTCAGCTTACTTTGTCTGGGAGTGTGAATTAAAGCCCAGGGTTTCATGACTAATTAAAGTCGCTCAAGTCCCAGAGCTGTGTGTGGAGTCACAAGTCAGACCTGGCATCCCAGGGCGGTGCAGACTAGCAGGAGCGGCAACCGTAGTCAGTGGAAATGAACTCTCAGCTCTGCAGCACGTGACTTCCTATTTCTGTAAGGTACTTCCAAGGGACTTCCTCCCCTGTAAAACTCAGCCTGAGTCCCAGGAGATTTCATTCAGCGCCGTCGCTAAGTTTACTTCCAGCTAGGCACAGAAGTTTTCCCTGAGACACGGTGCTAGTTTCTTTTCTCTCTCTCTGCTCTGTCATTGCCAGCATGCAAGGATCTGGTGGCTCCCGTTCGTGATCGGAAGCTGAACACACTGGTGCAGATCTCAGTCATCCACCCCGCGGAGCAGGGTCTGACAAGATACTCGAGCACGGAAATTGTGGAGGTGAGTGAGCGCGCTGGGTGTCTGCCTTCCTCTACCCCGCTGTCGCCTTCTCAGCCTCTCTCTGACTTTGAGCAAACAGCTGAAATAAGTTAGTCCGTGGCCTGCAGCTGTGCTATGTTCCTGTCCTCTGTTATTTAGGAAAGCATACCTGAGGTTATGAAGCATTGCTAACTTACCAGAATAAACAGATGAGAGAAAAGCTTGCCTTTTTCGTAGACCTTCTTTTTCTTTAGTAAGGAGAAAAAAAAAATCTCACTTTGGATCCTTAAATCACCAAGTTGGGGGATATATATATATATATATATATATATATATATAACTAAATGTAACGAATACTTAATTTGGAAGGACTAAAAGAGCATCATAAAGTACCCCCAGAGAAGTTAAGTGTTCTTATACTTTTCATTTTTTCCTGTATTCTTCAGTCTGCTGATGGAAACTTTTATTATTTGCTATTTGTGTGTGTCTTTTTAATGTACCATGTTTTTCAAAGAAAGGTAGATGATTAATTTGAGCAACTGTAATGTTTCTAGCTGAAGGGTGTAAATATTACTCATCAGATGAGAGATTTCCTATTTACATTCATTGTTACTAATATAACATTCAGTATGTGTCGGGAGGAAACTTGTTATTGTATTGGATCAGATTCAAAAGAGGAAGTGTTTCCCTTTTGATTATTTTGTTCTCATTACACTTATTTCACGAACTTAGTGAATGAGAAGTACTGGAACATCTGGGACTACAGAAAGTGTGCTTCAAACTCCTTAGCTCCGCATGCTTTTTCTCAGACTTGTAAGCCCTGTCTGTTCTGACTGAGGAGTTTCTCTGTAAGGAACGAAGTAGCTTGCCCCAGACTGGGTTTGCTCAGTGCCAGCCGTGCCTGGCTGCCGGAATAAATGATTCAGACTGAACTCGACTCATTTGTCTAATGGGAATGACCCAGTTCCTGCATGTAGCCTTGAATATGCCCTTTGGAAACTTTAGGTTCCAATGCTGGTATAATTTGTAGCTAATGCTGTAGTTGAATTAACAAAAATAGTCTCATCCATACAGCAAAAACTTGACTAAAATTATAAAATTGTTCATTTCTATGAAAAAAAATTTCAAATATTGTTCTAGTTTCATTATTCTTAAAATATATGTATATTGTCAAAACTTAAAAGAAATGGTTTTGACACATTTCAGTTGTTTATGTTTGAACACGCATAGCTGTTTTGGGCTATTTTATTGACTGTCTTTTTCCAAAGTGTCTAACACAGAGCTGAACAAGAAGTATTTGTTGAGTAAAAGGAGAAAGGATGAATGACTAAATAAATAACTCGGGCTTTCGGAAACTCATAGACACCTGGTTTACTAAATTCTAGCAAACATCTCAATGATATTTGGCAATATAGATGTAAAATTTAATGTTGGATGTCAGCTCTCTCAAAATTAATTCTGAGGCATGGAAATATCCAGGGCACTGCATCCTATGTTAGTAATTTCATAGGCCCAAATCCATCATATTTAGTTTCTTTCATTAGTTTTCAGACTAGTCTGAGAAAAAAACACAGCTGAACATCTTAAAACAAATGGACATTATCAGAGCATGGCTTTCAACTGAATCATTACAGAAAGGAAGTAAATGGTAGTTTATGAGAAAATAGCTTCATTTTAATTTGATCAGTCAATATCTTAGCTTATTTGCATGAATTTCAGGTCAAATCCATTAAATCTATTCTAAATGGACTGACAACTGACCTTAAGGAAGGATTCTGCATACAGTGAAAATCAATTGTTTTTCCAGACTGTTAGCAGCACGGACACTGATGCCGTGCCATTTACTATCAATAGCTCTATCAGAATTTGGGCTCTGGGCCTTGCTGTCGCCCATGAGCATCAGTTGGCGATTCAGATCTCTCTTCCAATAGGGCTATTTCCTAGAAAAACAAACGGACTCAGACACACTTGCTGTGTTCTCATGTGTCTCTGCATGCTGCCAGCTGCAGTTGCTACTTTATGGAATCAAAGTTGTCTGCTTGTGCTGTTGCAGGGAACAAGAGACCCACTGTTTTTGACTGGTGTCACATTCCCATCTGAGTATCCCATCTATGAGGAGACCAAAATAAAGCTAACAGTCTACGATGTCAAGGATAAGTCTCATGACACTGTAAGTACTTGTACTTATTTCTTTTTCAGGGGGGAGTGAGAGAAGGAGTTAGGCTTTTCCAAACTATTGGGTTTGGTTGGATATAACTGGCATTTTTCAAAGAGGGCATTTATACTTTGTTTATGCTTGTCTTATGTTTATATTTTACTGAGGATTCCCCCCACCTCCCCCGCATCCTTCCATGCCCAATTCATTGGGCTTAGTGCCAAACTGGCAATTGGTTAGGACTAAAAGCTTTCAGAAGAGATTTTTCTCTTTCTCAGGAAGGCTGGCTTGATGTCTTAGTTTATCTTTCTGCTGTTGTTCTAAGGAGTTGTTGAGGGAGTCATAGTGTGGGCGTAAGGCAAGGACAAGAGATGGAATTTTTATACTGTTTTAAAACTTTCTGGATACTGTAATTATTCTACAACAGGAGGTTGACAAAGTGCTCTATTTGGACAGTTTATTCCTGGACAATACTGTGTAGAGAGACACTCCCTCTATTTTCCTGAAGTTGTTCCTGGCACCAAAGCAAACAGAGGGTAACAAGAAGCACTAGGCACACGTTTTAATTGGCCTCCTTGCATGGAGGTCATGTAAAGCCCCTGTGCTCTTTCGTCCTAAATTCTTCGGTCTTCCTTCAGTGTCTGACTTTTCTTCCACCTGAATCAGACTGCCTGGTTAGACAGTCAAGGACCCCACACAGTCTCTAGAAGCCATTCTTCAAATTCCGGGACAGAAGATAATGCTGTTGGGTGGTGCTGAAAAGGGAATGGCTTAAAAGGGGCCCTCTCCTTTAAATTTCTCCAGTCTCTGTGAAGTTCTGTCAGTTTCAAGGCAGAAGAGCTATGGCAGTGTTCATGATCCATCTGAAGGACATGCCAGGGAACACTTTGAAGGCCGAGAGGCCTTTAGTTTCCAGCAGAGTTCCTGTTAAGGCTAAGCAGTCCTGCTGGACATAGAGAATCACCGATACCTTGTCTGGGGAAAATGTCACTTTAAACTCTGCCCTCATGTAGGTTATGGTTCAAAGAGATACTGGGAGGAGGTGATGCAGCCGTGCAGGGGACTAGTAAGCAGAGAAATGATTCGGATGATGGGAGCCGTGGGATTTTCTGTTCCTCCAAGCACACAATCAGATTCAATCCCCCCAGCAGTCCCAAGGCATAGTTGGGGGTAGACTATGGCAAGGCCAGAGGTCTAGGAACCTCTAGACCTTACAGAAATAAATGTTACAGAAATGAATGTTTCTCCTAAACTCTTGAGTTTGTGAACTCCTTAGAAACATGAGAGAAATTTTAGATACCTAAGGTATTTCTATCCCCTTTACTCTCCCTCATTTAAAATGTGCATGGATGTTAATGCTTTATGGATAGATAATTAGCTTACTCATTAATTATGCTTCTTGTTGGCTTCTATTCTGGAAGCTAATTATTTAAGGTCTTTTAAAGACTTCCTTCCTTGATCAGAGGTGTCATCACATAAAAGTATTGGATGAACTGGATCCCTGCTATGATATAAGACTGTGAAATGTGAACATACTTAAGAAATGCAACCAGCTTTCACTTACTAAGAGCTGTTAATTAAGGCATAACCTCTTCCTCAAAATAACTAACAATTAGCCCCGGCGATGGAAGTGTAAATAGAAATACAGTTTATTAATATGCTAATAGTACCCATGGACATACAGGCTTTATCCTGGCCCTTGTTCTCTGACTTCTTAAGATTTTCTTTGGGTTGGGGGTGGGGTGGGGGGGACAAAGGAAGTGGTCTTCAAGTACAATTTATAATTGTGAGCACTTAACCTAAAAAATTTCAGATCATATCACTTTTAAGGCCTAAGAAATGAGAATATGTGTATGTGTTTTGGAAAATTAATAAATTTTCTGCATGTATTTAAAAGTAGTTTAGGGGCGCCTGGGTGGCTCAGTGGGTTAAGCCGCTGCCTTCGGCTCAGGTCATGATCTCAGGGTCCTAGGATCGAGTCCCGCATCGGGCTCTCTGCTCAGCAGGGAGCCTGCTTCCCCCTCTCTCTCTCTCTCTCTCTGCCTGCCTCTCCGTCTACTTGTGATCTCTCTCTGTCAAATAAATAAATAAAATCTTAAAAAAAAAAAAAAAAGTAGTTTAAATATTTGATCCTAACAAATCACTGATCATGTTAGGCTGACCCAGAACAATGAGATTTTCTACTGACTAAAAACTAATGAGTTGAGTCAGATAACTAAGTTGCTTGCCCATTCCTATTGAATTTATCATTACTTGGAATTCATCAGTCAAATAAATGTGTTACTTTGCCATTTCGTATCCTTTAAAATACCTATTAATATTAGATATTTTTAAAGAGAAATTATAACCTTTCGTCTATGCCCTTGATACAGCCATTATGTAACTGGTTGTTCTTGTGTGCCTCTAAACATTGGACCTAAGACTGATTATCTCACTTAGTAACTTCAGCAGATATGCAATTCATCATTGCAACCAATGAGAAGAGTCTGTCCATTCACAAAGACTGTTTTTCCTCCTCCTATATCCTTCATCCTCCTCCTTCATTGCAGGAAGTCTTACACTGTGGCAGGTGGATAGATAATGCTTGGCAGGTGGGGAGGTGGGGTATGGTGGATGACAGGGTCATTATTAAAATCAGAGTGACCTTTTTATTATTTTCCTCTTTGTGAGGAAACTGTTTTCTCAGAATGGGCAGCTCTAACATCCAGCTGTTTGGGTAGGGACTTGAACTTGAAATTTAAGCCTGTGGCTAGGATAGGAGAGCCTAACTTCAAACAGTGAAGTGTTCAAACAGTATATATCTTCTGGATATATACTGAAGTTAATTGCTCTATTTTAAACTTCCTGGAAACTGAAACAACATAGACACAATCAGCCCTAGGGAATCAAGCTGGGACTGTGGGTCTTTCATACGTTACAGAAAAAACTCAGAAGAGGGTGAAATTTACATAGGAAAAGAACATCACATTTTGTCTTTTTTCCTTCCTTCCCATGCAACTTGTGTTTTGGAAGATACTGAACAAGGCTCTTTCAACACCACACTGAGGATAGCCATCAATCTGCTAACATATAATTAGGTCACAAAATTGGCTTTGCTCACATAGAAATTTGAATTTCTATGTATTTTGCAGAAGTTCACATTGCCACATTTGTTTAGTTTTTAGAGGAAATAAATGTTTGCTGTATCCCCAACTTGTTAGGTGTCTAGTTTATAGGACAGAGTCCTGTGTCCAGTAAATATGGAACATTTCTCAGGTGAGGATAAATGTCCTAAGATATTTTTTACTGCTAGTTACTAGCAATTCTCCATTTGTATCTTTCAGAAAAAAAGTGACCTTATCAAGATTGGATGTAAATTTATTATACTGTGTAAGTTATATGTCCAAGGAAGCTAATCTATAGCACAATTCCTTACACAGAAGTGTCTAGTTAAGTTTTTTGTGTTTCTCTATGGAAAAGAAAATGATTTACATTTAGTATACTTTGACTCTGTTTGATTTTCTACACTAACTTCTTAGAAGATTAGGTCTAATTATACTCATTGAGATACAAATTCTGTAAGCCTGTCTTCTCCTTGTAGAAGATATAGCGCAGCTGGTAAGAAAAAGAAATTGATAAAATTGATCACTAAGCACATGCCAAGCACTGTGTTTAATATGTTATACATGGTTTCTTCTCTAATCTCCAAAAAATTCTTTGAGGGAAGTATTACCTTGCCCATTTTAAAGATGAAAAAATAGAGATTCTGAAAACTTCAGTAGGCCAAGTCAAAGATCCTTCCTTCTTTGCAGGATACATATGTTCTTAGGGTTACCCTCATTTCCACTTCCACACGATGGCATTTTGACTTCAGCTGATGCTTTAAAAGCATTCTTCAGTTGGATCTTCAAAATTGATTCATTGAGGGGCGCCTGGGTGGCTCAGTGGGTTAAAGCCTCTGCCTTCGGCTCAGGTCATGATCTCAGGGTCCTGAGATCGAGTCCTGCATCGGGCTCTCTGCTCAGCAGGGAGCCTGCTTCCCTTCCTCTCTCTGCCTGCCTCTCTGCCTACCTGTGATCTCTGTCTGTCAAATAAATAAATAAAATCTTTAAAAAAAAAATTGATTCATTGAGGGAAACAATGTCAGTATGGCAGTGTAGGGGAAAAAATATATCCAAAATGTTTAAGCACTTAGATTAAGCATGAATAACTAATTGTACATGTCTATATAAGTTTTATGTAGTGGCCAGCTAGTATTCATGAAAGAATAGCTGTTATTACCTGTTGTAAAATGGTTAAGTTTATGTCTTAAACTTTTGCTTTTGACCACCTGGCCCTTTCCTGTTGTATGTACTGCATGGTCCTCTCAGCTTGCTAGCTCAGTTTGCCTTTTGTAATGCTCTGGTCTCCATTGTAACATAGTTTGCAAGAGGAGTTACCAATTCCTTACAGAAGTAGTGGAGGATTCTAAAATGCTGCTGCCCTCCACAAATAATTTCACTCCTTTTTTATCTGTTGATGAATGGTATATATTTACAAAGAGCATGTTTATATTTTATTGAGGATTAATTTATATATAACAAAATGGACAGATCTAAACTTCAGTTCAATGAGTTTGATAGTTGCATGGAGCCACATAACCTCTACCCAATGTAACACATAAAATATTTTCATCATTCCAGAAAGTTCTTTTGTGCCCCATTCTTGTCAATAGCCACTCGACATACTCTGAGGCAACCACTTTTCCATATATACCAGCATGGATTTGTTTTGCTTGTTGAAATTTAAGTGAATAAAATCGTATAATATGTGTTCTCTTGTGCCTATTAAACATATATTTTTGGGGTTCATATATGTTGCTAAATGGAATTGTTACAGAATAGTATTATGTCGTCGTGATACCACAATTTGAATTTATTCATTCTCTTATTTACATTTCTCTACATTTAATTACTTTTACTTTTGACACCAATGAGCAAAGTGTCTATGAACATTGAATATCGTGTAGATATTTGTTTTTATTTTGAGAGGTAAAT